CTCACCTACATGGTTAAACAGTTCGTCTCTTCCGGCTCCGATAAACTGTTCAGCCCCAAATGCAACTCCCAGTTCAAAATGTACAAAATGGTGAGTGAATCCAGGTGCCCCGTGGTCATGTTGATACAGTGGGACGTGGCTTCTGATGAGGAATGCTGTTCTCCCTGCTGGGATTAGCTGTCTGGCCCCGTCTGATCATTTGCTGTCATATGGGCGCGTACTGGCAGCCAACATGCACAAATGCCGTTTGGCTTAGTCCCCGGAAAAGGACAGGCTTCTGTGTCTTGGTTTAATAAACACTGCTGTCCACATTGAGGTGAAAGGGCAGAAACAGCATCGTGCCTGAGCAGCGGAGTGGGATGTTCAGAAGCAGGAGCCTTGACTACGTTTGCACAAGTTCCTGCATCACCAGAAAACACTTGTCCGTCTTTAGAAAACAATAAAGGGTGCAAAACTTTAGTCTCTGTGTCCACAGAGCGCGTGTTCTCAAGATTTTAGAGTTGGGGAGATAACTTTAAGCATCGGGGCTGCTTTCCGACAGGGAACCTGGGAGATCTCCAGGATTTCCAAGCTCCACACTGCAGCTCCACTTATGCAGTCCTGTCCCTTTCACAAAGCTCTTCATCTAGGAAGACGGAACGGGGTGTATCACCAGAGTAGTTTTTCTCTCAGTCCTTTCTCACATCCTTTATATGGTGATTTGGTTGTTCGTCCTGTGTCCTATGACTTTCATTTTCCCTATGGTGAAACAATGTATTTAAACATCCTTGTAGAGTTTCTGTTTATTGTCAGGGTGACGCTGCCACAGTGATGTTTGCTTTTCTTTCAGCCTGTTTTCCTTAATGAAGTCCTAGTGAAATTGCCCACAGATCCTTCAAGTGATGAGCCGGTTTTCCACATATCACACATTGACAGAGTTTACACGCTTAAAACTGACAACATTAATGAGCGGTGAGTAGTGAAAATGCAGATCTGAGCTTAAACTTGTTGATCATGGCTGTAGCCTGTTTCCAGTGAGCAGAAATGGGGGTCTCTCAGTTCAAGAACAGGGTTTAGTTTCTTGGTCAGGAAATAAACTCGTTTGACTCTCATTTGAATTACAAGTTTTCTCTGATTTTGTTCTGCTTGTGCGGCAGCTCTTGCAGTGGAATCCAGTCACATCTACTGCTCCTCGATGTTACAGTTGTATAGAAGAATAGTTTAGGGCTGCAAAGTCCAGCGTCCCATAGGTTCTTCACCAGTCCTGGTCAGTCTTTAATATGACCGCGCAGTCTTTAATAAAACAGCAGCTTCACTTCCGTTTATTTAGGCTGATGTGGAAATGTGGCATAAGATTAAATCTGAAAACACTATCACTTTAGTCCTTGAACTAACTTGATTTGTGATGCCTCTGAAACCCAGCGGGGGGGAAAAAATGGCAAAAGAGATTGGGGCAGAGTCACCGATACTGAGGAATTTCCTGCCTGTGGTATGACCCTGACCATAGGGATTGCTCTTTGCAGCACTGCCTGGGTCCAGAAAATCAAAGCAGCATCAGAGCAGTACATCGAAACTGAGAAGAAGAAACGTGAAAAGGCTTATCAAGGTACCTACCGGGTTCTGTGTTTCCCTCTCATCCACGCGGATGCGTGGGCAGGGCCTTTTCTGGAGGATGCCACAGAGTCTGTGCAGGATCTCCCTCTTCAGATCTATTGCCAGTTTTTATGGTTGCAACCAATCCATTTATTTCTGACTTCTTTGTTCCCAGCTCGCTCACAGAAGACCTCAGGAATAGGACGCTTGATGGTGCACGTGATTGAAGCAACAGAGCTAAAGGCCTGTAAGCCCAATGGTAAGTGGAGGATATAGTGTCAAATCCCTTTTATTCCTGCAGCGTTTGGAGAGGCTTGCTGAGAGGAGTTTGGTGATTTGAGGAACATTGTGGATTCAGCTACAGCTTCTGAACGAATTAGCCATTATTTCGTTTCAGAGGACCGAGTGAAGAACCAGCTCTGTGCTGCTCTAGGATATAGGGATTGCCTGACCCACATCTTCTGGACAGCAGCATTGATGTGTGTCCAAGCAGCCTCCAGACAGGGAGGGAGGTTTCTGCGCTGCCGAGGTGTTTCACTGCTTGTTCTGTGTTTAGGGAAGAGCAACCCCTATTGTGAAATCAGCATGGGCTCTCAGAGCTACACTACGAGGACCCTGCAGGACACCTTGAACCCCAAGTGGAACTTCAACTGCCAGTTTTTCATTAAGGATCTGCATCAGGATGTCCTGTGTATCACCATGTTTGACAGAGATCAGTTCTCACCCGATGGTAAGTGCGAACATTTGTTTTAGGAAAAGAATGCTTTTTTGTGACTCGGGGTACACAGTTCCTCACCGACAGTTCCAAGAGCCTGTAGGTATGATTGCTTCCTGAGAAACGTTGTGTAAAAACAAGGCCTCCTTGCTCAAGAGGTTCAGTAGTCCTCCAGAGCCAACAGCTCTGGGCAGTCAGATTTGATCCTACTCTGGCTTTTCTATCAGACACAGAACTATTATTTTGTCAGACTGGGGAGACAGAGAAGTTGAAAGCAGAAGTTTTTCTCTCTCACTATAGGTGGTGCCCAAAAATAAGGTGCTAGGTTATATTTGCACAGCAACAGCTTGATAAGCTTTCTTCTTTTGCTTGGAAACCGAACACGTAGCTTCTAGTACGTAGTCGGCAGTCGGTAGCTTCTAGTACTCTTTAAAAGGTTAAGTGCTTTTTCAGGACTCTGATGCACAGTTGATTATTTCAGGTTTGCAAGGTACTGCCTTGACCTGAGTTGCCCTATGTGTAACTACAACTCAGTCTTTTCTCCTGTGAGGTAACGTGACTTTGCGAGGCTTCTTCTCCCTGTTGGACAGCAGAGTCTGTTGTTTTTTCAGTTCATGGTAAACTTTTTAATGCACACACACGAAGATGTTTATATATGAAATGGCCACAAAGAGGGTATGTAATTTCTGAATAGGACTGTAAACCTATGAGTGGCAGTAGTTGTTCAAGGTCATTGTTCTTGTGAGAAGAATAATACATAAGCTTAATTAAAAGTTGGCTGAGCCAAAATAGGTGGAATTTTTTTTTTATTGTCTTCATAGCACCGCAGCTGACTTGTAAACATCACTTAACTCTGACTTTGCAGCTCTAAGACAGGAGAACATTTGAAATTGTGTTTCTGAAAAGGAACTGTATTTTCAAAGCCCTTAGATCAAACTGTGACATAAAGGCATGTTTTCCGTCCTAGTTCCATAGCATTTTTGTCTTCTGAAAAGACCATTTTTTGTCACTGCTGGCTGATTTACACAGGGCTGAGGGCTAGTCAAACAGGAGGCTTGGGAGTAGTGCTCTGGAACTGAATACATACTATGCAGCATTGCTGCTTAACCTGACGCTTTCAGATTTTCTAAGCTTAACGTCTTTGCTTAATGAAATTTCTTATTCATTTGCCCAACAGATTTTTTGGGTCGCACTGAAGTTCCAGTAGCAAAAATCAGAACAGAACAAGAAAGCAAAGGCCCCACGACTAAACACTTACTGCTGCATGAAGTTCCAACAGGCGAAGTCTGGGTCCGTTTTGACCTGCAGCTCTTTGATCAGAAAACACTCCTCTAAGAAAACTTTTTTAATCTATGAAGGACGACTGAAGCTGACAGCTTGAACATTTTTTTTGGTAAAAGATCCCTTGCCCCACGCTGGTTATTAAGCAAGAGTTCCTGCTGCTTCTGTATTTCCTCTTAATTACTGGTTGCGTTTAGTTCCTTGCAGCGTTCAAAGTTGTTGATCTATGCAAACAGAAATGTTACTGTATATACAGTACTATAGCTCAGTGCCTTTTTATTATGTTGGAATATTTTGGGTTTGGATGCCAATGTTTCCATTTTCAGGACCATAAAAAGTATTAAGTAGAAATACGGCATCAAGATGTATGTATGTTTTACCACTCAGTCTCACATATAGACTGAGGAATGGTTTAGCTCAGCACTAGAATCATTCCATTTGAAATCTGAAAAGTGATATCCACTGGAATCTTCCCGTCTCAGGATGATAGTTCTAAAGATTAAATGCTGAAGAAGCCTTAGCACTGGAGAAGTCTCCGATATATTGTATATTCTTTAAGAATCAAGTGTAGTTCTTTACTTGACTTAGTTCTGCACTGAAATCAGTAACTGCTACTTGATTTTTCTTTCTGCTTCAGTTTGATTCATCATTCTCTGCTGAGACAATGTGGTTGTGAAGAATAACTAGAAAAAAATATTTTAAATACTGTGACCCACAATAATGTGGAAAAATACTCTTCAGCTTTTGTTTTTTTTCCTAAATGTAAGTTATTTGTGTACATTTCCTTGGTCTTGCAGACCTCCATGTGAATCTTGAAGCTTTGACATTGCCAACATGTATATATAGAGAGAAAAATATAAGTTTATTAAAGTAATTTGTCTACAGATGTTTATTGATGCATAGTGATTTTTAAAAAGTATATTTTATTGTATAGGGGAATGTGAAATAATAAGAATTTATAGGATGAAATTCGAGAAAAGTTTATTACAAGTTTAAAAGGTTTGCTTGGGGGGAACTGTCACCCCAACACGAATCTGTAAACTGAGATTGGTTGAAAGCAAAAACTTGCTCTTGGCACCAAAATCAGGGATGGTTAAAAAAAAAAAAAAGAGTTTGTTTATAAAGGGTTTGATAAGTTGTAACCATTTTACTGCCGCCTTAAACTGCTTTGTTGAAAAAGCACAGCATGCAATTCTGAGCAGCACCTGCCCTTGTTTTCCATGGGTGCAGCAATACCTCCTGATGTCTGACAGTTTCACACTCGATTGCCATCTGTGTACCCTCCTGTTACAGGGCTGAGTCAACCTCTGTTACTTTTAACAGTTTTCTGTGGTTCAGTATTTCTAATCCTAAATAAAACTAAATCTTGGCAACTCGTGAGAGATTGTGTCTGTACAGTGGGAGTTTGGAGCTTCTTGAACAAGCATAGAGAAAATTCTGTTTTCAGGCTTTGACAGCAGAGCTGCTGTGCAGGCACACTAGCAGGGAGACAGGGACCGCCCTGGAACAAGAGAGAAGCCAATTTGTAGGGCGCTGACAGCCTTTGTTGCTCAGCACTGACTGTCCAAAAAGTGCTAGACATTTTGTACACCACCACTTTCCATCTCCTCTCCCCTAATTATTTCCTGCCTTCTCAGAATACTCAATATGTATGTTAAAAGTTTCATTTACTGCTTGTACGCTGCCTCCAGGAGAAAGTCCTTTGAACCCTTGGTAGTAGCCTAACATTATTTTGCAAAAAATACTTTGCAAGACATTCACTATGGGAGTTCTGATAAAGATTTGAATAAACAAAACCAAATCATTATTTCCTTATCAGTGCTTTCTAAGCCCCTCTTCTGTACACATCTGCTCACCACGCACATAGCCAGGAGCACCTCCTTCTCATTCAAAGAGAGGGTTTGTTCTTAAATCTCAAGGTGACCTCTTTCAGCTTCATGCACAATTGCAACAGCTGTAACTAAAATTTTGCAAGCTTTGCCATTCATTCCCTCTGCCCACTGCTAACATTCACACTTCTTGTGATACGAAATACAGTAGACTCGGAGCTGTAGCTGTTGCCAGAGCTGGGGATAACATACAGATCCTGCACTGGGTAGAAGAGGGGCCTAGCAGACTTCTTCAACTTTTCTCGCCAGTTCATCTCCTTTAATACAAAGACTCATCACCCTATAAACCAGAGAACATCAGCACTGTCTTTGTAGAGCTGAGCCCAAGTTAAACCACCTAAAATAGTAGGTTTTGGCCTGTAGAGCTGGAAATAACAGGAGCAGCATCTCAAACATTTCTTTGGCTGCTGGGTAACAGTACTTCAGAAGCACATGTTTAAGACAATGAGTTTATTGCAGTTTGCCAGAAGACCTGGCCTGTTACCACTTGCTTTGGCAGAAGATGTAACATGTTTTGCAAACAGTACCTTCTGATGCCCGTATTTGCGGCTGCGGTCAGCTGGAAGACAGGTGACATCATCGGACCTCGCCATCTTTGTGGTGGCTGATGACTTTCCGCCTTTGAACAGAAGTAAAAACTATTGCAGTCCATGCAACGCGAAGGCTGCTGTAGCCCAGCACAGCTTCCTGCACTAGCTCTTTCCCACACTCCAGGAAATGTTTGTCTTTGTGACCAGTTTTCCTTCTAGAATGTGCCATTATCCCGTAACTGCTGTAAACATGCTGGAGTAAAGCCTTGGGCTTTACTTGGGAGTAAGAGGCATAAAATTCCAGGGCGGGGGGGAGAGAGTGGGCCTGGGTCAGGAGGACATCAGGCTCCCAGTTCAGCTTTGATGTTTTTGTCACTGGGGAGCAGGAGTTCCCTTAGGTGTTGTGTGCTGCAAGGGCAGAACCAGAGAGCTTTCAAAAGCGGTGAATCAGAGCACTGGGACTTGAAAAAAACAACAATGTAATAAAAAAAAATAAATCACTCTTTGCTGATCCCAAATGCTTCCCTATCGGGGCAGGCCAGCGGGGGCTCTCTAGTGGTCTCAGCTTAGGCAGCTGCATCACTGCTCCAGTTCAGTTCACCATTAGTGATCTCTACTGTACTTTGAGTCCAACCAGCCTGTACACCAACAAAGACCTGTTATGAAGCTTAGCTATAGGATACAACTTTCTGGAGTGGTGTGTAGCTCCCTCAGCACAGGCCGCTCCTTTACAGGACCAGCCTCCTGGCTTGAGCGAGGATGCACACCGTATCACAAAGGTCAAAGGACAGTAGTTGAGCAAACATGAGACAAGGCCAAGAGAGCCAGGACAGTTTAGCTTGGAGAAGAGAAGGCTCAGGGGGAATCTCATCAGTGTGTACAAATACCTGAAGGAAGGGTACAAAGAGGATGGAGCCAGGCTTTTTTCAGTGGTGCCCAGTGACCGGACCAGGGGCAATGGGCACAAATTGAAACACAGGAGGTTCCCTCAGAACATTAGGAAACACTTTTCTGCTGTGAAGGTGACAGAGCATTGGCACAGGCTGCCCAGAGAGGTTGTGGAGTCTCCATCCTTGGAGATATCTCCATCCTTGGAGATATTCAAAAGCCATCTGGACATGGTCCTGGGCAACTGGCCCTAGGTGGCCCTGCTTGAGCAGCGGGGGTTGGACAAGATGACTTCCAGAGGTGCCTTCCAACCTCAACCATTTTGTGATATAAGTATGACTTCACCTGCTCCCAAAATCTAGAAACTAATAGCAAAAAACCCCACCAAAACCCAAAGCAAGTATGAACATTAAATCCTTCCAGATCTTCCAGTAAAGAACCCAGGAGGTATTCCACGGCTTGGCCTGTAGGGCTGGCTGCTGGGCTGCATGCAGAAAATGCAGGAAACTCCCCACCAAAAACCACTTTATTTCAAGGCTCAGCTTGACCATCAATGCTCTACTTTAATACATGCTGCTGTCCACTCCATACCTGAAGGCTTTCCCTTCACCAACACTCCTTTCTCAGGAGAAATACACAATAAAGCGGAATTCACCATGAAATTTAAGTTTTAGCAAATACTCTGCTACGCAGCCGAGAAGGAGAGGCCTCATCCACTGTAGCTGTTGTGCTGCCTCTCAGTAAACACATCATTAGCTCTTACCTCCTCATTTGGTGGACCTCACTAGCAATGTAGGCGTGTGGTATCTTCAGCCACTCAACTGCATCCATACGTTGCCGGCTCAGAGGAAGCAGTGACAGTTCTGCTTTACTGAGTTCGTTCAGCTCTCTGGTAGAGCACGGTCTTCCTGGCAGGAAAGTAACAAGCGCTTCGTTTGAGCATCTACTGTCACAAGCAAGGATGCCCCCCCCCCAATATGAAACACTTCCAAGGGATACCAGTGTTTAAAATACCTGTCTCACACTGCTTGATAATGCCTGTCTCAATAAACTTTCTTTGAATGTCTTTTAACAGAGGATCCTGTAAAGTTGGTACTGAAACCTGTGACAGAGACAGTTATTTCATGGTTACGCACCAACACAAGCACTTTGTCAGAGTCTCAAAGACCAAAGTCAGAGGTGAATGTCAAGGCACCATTGGTTAGCAGGTAAGGAGCATCAACTGCATTTTTTTATGAATAAAATCATGAGGCACAGACGTGAGTGGCCTGAGAAATGCTGAGCATCTCAGCTCCTAAGGCAGGCCATAACGCATTCAACAAGTCTGCCGCAAAATTAGACCACAGATATGAGATCTGATCTCCTGGAGGCAGTTGATCTTGATGAACCCTGTGTGGCATATTGCAATGAGGTATCAGCTCAGTCCCCACAGCTGCTGAGGGCTCACAGCATCCAGAAGGGATTTAGAGAATTGCACTTCATGGATTTGTGTCCGAGTCCTACCTAACTCTTCTATTAAGTACCCATGTCTTCGGTGCACTTGAGTGAGCTTTTGTAAAGATCATCTGAACTGTCAGATTATTTCCTTCTACAGAGCACACACCCAGCTTGCCTGGGAACTCACCAACCCTCGTTAGACAGGATGCTTCCCACGATGCCACAATGAATTTGAGATGAGGAAAACAAACCTCCCCCCTGCCATTGCCTACTGTGCCTCCAAATCTGGGCTTAGTATGGATCCAAACCATGTTCCCAGTGAAAAGCATTTTCAAACACTCTTGAGCTTAAATGCAGTAGGAGCTGGGACCCATATTTGTTCAGTTAATAAAACTAGAATGTGTTGCTCTACACCAGCCCCATAGCAGCACGTCAGTAACACACTCTGCTTCCTCTCTAACCATTAACTTCCCGCTGGTCAAAGGCTGCCTCTAAACCTCATGGCATAAATAACCACCACACCTTCCAGCAGTCTGTACACGTCTTCAGGAAGAACGGATCGTACTCTGACGGGTCATAAGTTTCCAAAGCCACATAGCCCTGCGGGAGAAGCAGGTAGCAGGTCAGGTCTCAGAAGCTATTGGTAATAAAACAGCGAAAGAGCAGCCAGCCTAGGTATTAACACAGCCAGGCATGGTATGAACACAGCACCAGCGGTGGTGGAGATAAGGACTCCCGAATTTTCACACTCTGCACCTCAGAAGGAAGGTGACTGAAGTGTAACAGGAAAGTTCCTCCATCCATTTTAATTTATCATAGGCATAAATACATAATAAATGATCTCATGAAGCATCCAGAAATAATTACAGGCTAAAACACTAATCACAACTAAGGCAGTCAAGAAAATGGAAATTTTGTTCAAGGGAAAATGTTTTGACAGAGAAGGAAACAGATACTAGAAAGAAAATAAAAAAAGAAAGTGACTGACCCCCCACCAGCCATGGCCCTAGGCAAGTTACTAGTCTGCGAGATGCGAGCTCCAAGTCTAGGTCATGAGCATGCTTTTCTATCTATATATAGGAGTAAAGACCTGAACTATACCTAATGGTCCAGACCACAGCTCCATCTCATCGAGAACTCTGCCTGCAACAAACTTCGTATTCTGCAGTTCAAGTTTCCTATGACCAGAGTTAGCTGGGGAACAGCAAGTACCACCACTTGGCATTCACTACTGATGCCAAGACCAAAGAACACCAGATCAAACAGGCTATCAAGAAGCTGAACAGATACTGAGGTTGCCACACAGATCAAGCCTGATGCTGAGAAAGGTGAATTGCAACCATTTGTCTCCAAATTATAATGGACTGTTTACGGCCAATAAGCCAGGACTTACCTAAATTGCATCAGAGCTGTACAGATGACAAAACAAAACATATACGTAAAAAAAAAAAGAACAGAGGCCACAAGTGATGCCCTAAGAATAGTAAGAACAGGGCAAACATAAAATACTTCTCCCTACTACTCTCAGTCATTCTTCCAGAACCTTGCCAATGAAATTTTTCAGCTTTCTTGTGCAGACAATTCTCCAGGGGTCCCAGGAAGAAAAGGGAGCATTCAGCCCACGGCCCTCTAGGTCTCAGCCCTACACAGTTCTTTTTGGCAATCATCTGTGGATGTGATTTCAAGTTGAGAGCTGGAAAAAACATACTTTAACCTGAACAGTTCAGGAGTGCTGCAAGACGAGTCCAAACCCCAAAAAGTGGGATCTGCAGTAGGTTTAAGAGGTAACTATGTTGAAGGTGCTCACATGGGCAAGTGAGCCAGGCCCCAAGGGCCTATGCTGTTCCCAGACACTCAGCAAGCACTTGGGCAGCTCCATGGGGCTTCAGCTACTGCTGAGGGTGAACACTGCTGCCTCTGCAGGGGCCTCTGCTCCCCAGTATCTGGCAATTCCCCAGAGAGCAAGCAGCAAGCTGCACTCACCATCTCCTGTTTCTGTCCCTGGAAAACTTTCAGCCCTAACATGCCTCAATTTGCAGAGTTGTAGTGCCACCCCTTGGTTTATTATTACATACCGCCCCATTACAATACGTGCTGAGACCTCAGTCGATTGTGCTAGGCGCTGTGCAGCACACCCATGTTCGATCCCTTCACGTAGTCGATGTATTACCACTCACACACCCCTTGGCAGAAAGCAGAGCAACAGCCTGCTCTTAAAAAGGCGTTGGAAGGGTCTCTTACTCTGCAGCATTTCAGCAAACAATGCCAAAAACTTCCTGGACTGCCAGAAGCTGAGCTGA